CTGAGGTATTCTGAGTAACGTTGTAGGTGTGAGCATGACAACAACTGATGTACTCCGGGCATATTTGCTGCAATGATGTATATAGTCGCGAACATAAGATATCTACAGAGGTATTCCGAGTACACATGACACATATTTTATAGAATTATATCATATTGTAATGACATTTTAATCGTTGCTTTTTATCCATTGAGGAATTGCGGGAGCACATCAGTTTTTAAAACGGTATTCTAAGTACTGGGTCATATAATCGTGGTTTTACCATCATACAATTTCCAGTCTTAGGTTCTATGAAATTGAACCACTCTTGTTTATTGAGATATTCCGTGTGATATATGTCAGGAACATCAATAGTTGCCGAGTATTCCGAAAACCTCTTCATTTAAACATTATTTAGTACACACTGTATGAAAGCTGCCGATGTATCCCGAATGTGTTATTCGAATGACACTGTAACAGGTGTTCTGGCAATATCTCCAACATATTGCGTTATAAATGGCTGAAATGTCAGCTACACTTCGATGGATTCATGAAAAATGTTTATATCTGTGATAGTGAGTAGTATTGAATTATCAATAAGTACGTCTGGCTGCAGCGCTATCCGTATCAACGTCTGAGCTCAAAGGTCGAAATAATGTGACTAGACAGTCTATAGCGTTTTACGTATACGGGTGTCTCGTACGGAATACCGTCTTCGAACTATCAGACCACGAGGCCATGGCTACTTTTTGAACCGGTTATAGTTCATATTGCTCTGTATACCTGTTTCTCTCTTGCTTAGTGCATCAATGTGAGCTTGTCGAAATATTATGAGGACCAATTGATGTTCGTCAGAGTTATAATTAGCAGCATGCATGTGTCCCTTTCGCATAAAGCTTATCGAAAACCACTGAACTACTGTGACGTAGAACTTACCTTTTCAACCTGGTTTGTGTAATATTGATTAATATATATGCCAGTTACTCTCTCGTTCAGAGCATCACTTTGAATCTTTCACACTGTGACGTCACGCTGACCTTTTGAACCCGGTCTCTTTAATTGATCGATATATAGTGTGTTGTGCCGTTGCTTCATACCATCAGTGTAGCAGCGGCCGAGCTGGGGTGTGGAGAACACGGAGAACTAAGCATGTCTCCCCTGTGTGGGGCCTCCTGTAACGTCACTTTGTGATGTCACCACGGTCTTTGGGCGGGAGATCATGAAGTCTCGTGCACGACTACGTCAGTGGCAGTCGAAGGTGGCAATTGTCGGCGTATGAATGCGCGACAGTTTAACGTGTGATTACGACTAAACCATGCGGTTAAACACGTGCTATGGGGATTATTGTGTGACCGTTATGGTTTTGTAGTGATTGAGGAAGGTCTCCTACTTGCAAGTAAGTACAACTTTTACCATATCACTACATCTTTAGAACTACCTTCTGCTTAGACATTTTTTTTTTATTAAATCTAACAGTTTATAAACAATTTCTTCTAAATTAAAAACAACAAATGGGTGTTTTTTTCGCAACTTTTGACGAAACATATCCAAATTGAATAAGTACTGTTAAATTCTATTCGGATTAAAAGACTTCGCTACTTCATCTGTTTACCTCTGCTGATTGGTTCTACAGACCGACAAACGACGGTCAATACATTTTTTAAACTGAGCACAATAATCCTGTTTCTTTAAAAACATATGCGGAGTTTAGAATAATTTCCGGATAGACGATAGCGGACGGATACCTTATAAAACATCAACTTCTCGATATTTGATCTGAAATATTTCAGTATAAAATACCTAGTGAGGTACGTCGTGCGTTTGATAATAACTTACGAAGACACAATGGTTTCAAATATTGACGCTTACCGTATCAGCAACTTATAATAGGATCGCGTGCAAAATAACCATATTCATCACAATACTTGACTTGGTCTTATTACGTTTATGAGCTCTTAATAATTACCCAATCAACAAATTTATACATAAACACATTTCTGTTATTTGGTTTATGAACACCTATACATAAATCGGCAAGTGAAACTTATTGATGTCGCAAGCAGCAACGAGAAGAGGTATTTAATTTATCATGGAAATAAAAGAAAAACAGGGGCTGCATTTTCTAATTTTACCAAACTTTGTGACAACACAACTTGCTTGAACTAAATGACGGAAAGAAAATTATCAGGCCCGTTTTCATTTTGTCGTTTATGATACTTCCTGATTTACTATTCTTTAAGGCCTGTTCATTGACCTAATCAATGATTGATAGAATAACATGTTAAACGAAACAAAATACAAAAAAGGATTTGTTTAGGATTTAACATTTTGTAATAGGGTCATATGAGGACGTACGCCCAGGGGGAGACCGCCTGAAACAGACAGTAGATAGAAAAGAAAGAAGACAGAAACATAGGAAACGAAGTGTTGCATTGGGGCAGCAGATCAATTTCGGTCTCTTCCATTTCCTTTTTATTTAAAACACGGAAGAAAAGTGGGCCCATATTTTTCACCTGTTACGATACACATGCATGCAGAGGGATACCGTAGGTCTGTTCTTGGTTTCCTCAATGCCCCTTAAATAGACAATGAAAAAGCTATCCCGATTCTGCATGCCCCC